CAAAAAAAAATGGAATTTAAGACAAAGAAAAAGGCTAGAGCTTATAAATGACTATGATATGAGTATTGTTCTGGGTGAGCGAATGTAGTTGTGGATCCTTTAAGCAGTAAATCCACATGTGATGTAAGTTGGATTATTACTTAAAAACTGAAACTGGTTAAAGAAATTGATCTCTTGCAGTTAGAAGTCAAAAGACAATGTGATATGAAATATTTACAACAGTTAATGGTGCAATCAACTCTGATAGATAGAATTATGTTACTCAAAAAGTTTGCAATGAATAATCAAAACTCCTAAAGCAACTTCAATCAGTAAAGAGATTGAATATGACTATCGATGAAGATGGTATTATCAAAAATATACTACAGTTTCATGTTACTCAAAAAGTTAGCAATGAATAATCAAAACTCCTAAAGCAACTTCAACCAGTAAAGAGATTGAATATGACTATTGATGAAGATGGTATTATCAAAAATATACTACAGTTTTGAATGCCTGTTGATTAAGATTTGAGATAGGAAATTCTACAAGAATCTCATTATTCATGGTATATAATTCATCCAGATGGCACTAAAATATACAAAGATTTAAAGTTAATATTATAGTGGCCGAGTATGAAAAAAAATATTGTTGAATATAAGTCAAAATATCAAACTTGTCAAATTATCAAAATTGAGCATCAGAGACCCAGTAGGATTACCGCAATCATTATCTATACTTGAATGAAAATAAGAATAAATTGTAATAGATTATGTTATGGGATTTATAAGATCCAAGCAAGGTCAAGATAACATGTAAGCAATTATTGAGAGATTAACAAAATTAGCTCATTTTTTATCAATCAGGTAGACAAATTCTGTTGAAATGTTGGCCAAATTATATATAATAAAATTATCAGATTGCAAGGTGTTCCGAAAATTATTATTTCTGATAGAGATGAAAGATTCACGTTCAGGTTGTGGAAAGATATTCAGAGAGGTTTGGGTACGCATTTGCATCTTCGTATAGCATTTCATCCGCAAACCAACTGACAATAATAAATGATAATTCAAGTATTGGAAGACTTGTTGAGGCTTTATATCTTTGACTTTGGAGGCAGTTGGGAAGCTCACATCCTAATGATTGGATTTGCCTACAACTACTAATCGGGTATATCAAAACGGCTTCTTATGAAGCACTGTACGGCAGGAATGTAGAACTCGACTCAGTTGGGTCGAAGTAGGGGAACATCAACTATTAGATTATGAATTGGAGATGAAAATACAAAGAAAACCAAATTAAACAGAGTTAGATTGAAAGCCGCTCAGGATCGACAAAAAAAGATTGTGACCCAAGTCACAGAGCAATGAAGTTTGAAGTTGGTAATTTTGTATTCTTAAAAGTCATGCCCATGAAAGGTATTGTTAGGTTTGATCAAAAAAGCAAATTGAGCCCCAGATACATTTATCATTTTGAAGTCATAAAAATGATCGGTCCAGTTACTTATAGGCTAGCTTTGCCTGCATAAATATCAGACATCATGATGCATTTCACATTTCAATATTGAGAAAATAGATTTTAAATTTAGATAAAAGAATTTCACACATACGCATTGATGGGCAGAAAGATCTAACATACATCGAAGAACCAGAATGAAACTTAGAAATTGATGTTAAGAAGCTCAGGAATAGCAAATCACTTTATGTTAAAATAAAATGGATGCACAGCCTTAAAAAAGAAGCTACAAAGAAAAACGAAGAAGACATAATGCAGAAGGATCCTATTTTGCTAAGATAAAATCAGAAATTTCGAGGACAACTTTTTTGAGGGGAGAGCTATAATTCCCAATTTTGACAATTTGGCCAAAATCAAGTGAAAATATTGGTAATTATGAAACATATCCCACATTTCGCATCTCTTAGAATTTTGTCAGAGTCAATTTTATAAAATTCTACTTTTTGAATTGATCAATTTGCTACCTAGCACTATGCAAGAATTATAAATGTATGGGGAGCTACAAATTATTGCAAATATAAGCTTAATTAACCCTTAATTAATCCTAAGTAGATTCCTAATCCCTCAGCAATGTAGTCATCGACTTTCCTTTTGGCCTTACAGTCGTGGGATGTATATGAAGAGTTAATGTTTAATAGGATGATGTTAAATATCGTGATTCCTACTTTTCCTCCTCTCCTGAACCTTTTGCAAGCGTTTATCATTCGGTCCACAAGAGCAAGAACAGATGCGTGATCCATAAGGAGCCGCAAGCGGCTATTCGAGACTCTAGGGCGTAATCTGTAAGTAGAAACCTCTCCACAATATTTGAGACAGTCATTCCTTCCCTGCAAATTTTTATACATTTTCCATAAAGTGAAACACATTTACGTTTGCGGACACTGTAGCGGGAGGCGAACTAGTGTCGGAAGCTGCGAATTGAGTTTAGGCCTCTCGGCGAGGTTGTTTGCAAGTAAATCAACAAAGTAAGAGGATGAAAGGAAGGTTAGAAGGAGAAAGAAAGGATTAGAAGGGAATTGGAGAAGAGATAGCCATGTGGGGAAGCCTGTTTAAGGTAAGAAAATTTTTTTTAGGGTTAAATCATGATATAAGCCAAGAATTAAATGAATATTCTAAGAATTTATGAATTTCAAGTGGTTTACACTAGACGGCCAGCTTGAGGAAACTTATCGTAGGACTACTTTGTCATTTAGGTGAAATAATTTCATTTTAATTTAAAAATAATAATTTTTTTTAGGATTTGATTTAATTTCTTTGATATCTGAATGCATTTAAAATTTATGCATGTTGAAAGATACATGCACAAGATAATGTGAATTCTAGTTGGTATTGACTCTGACTGTGATTATGATTTTCCTTCGATATTGATTTGATGAGCATAATATGAAATATTTGTTTACAGGTACTCTTACCAAGTTAATTATGCATTGCTTATGATTGTTAATTACAAGAATTATGATTACTGGAATGTTGCAAGTGTTGTTACGTATGATATCATGAATGCTTGCAAATTCGTATAATAAGAAACGATAGGATTCCTGATTTCTAGTATTCAAACGAGGACAAAATCTGAAAAATGTTGGTATTATAGGAGTATGGGAAGTAGGAAACTGTTAGTAGGCTATTAATAGCTACTATGTTAGGTTCAATCTTTATCAATAGTTAATTAGCTTTCGAGCTAGGTATAATTCCAGTGACATGAAATAACATGAAAGCAGTCAAAACCTACACAATTACAAGTGGCATTCATATAATTGCAATGACTGACTATGAAATTTATATGAGTATGCCTATGATTACACATGAATGGAAGAACCGCATGTTTATACGGCTTGCATGATTTACTGCATTCCATTCCTTCATTTAGATGTTTTACATGATTAAAACATGTGATATTTTCTTTTGTCTTGCATATGAGCTACCAGCAATCATGCATCTCATTTCTTTTTTGCCTATAAAATCTTTCTTTAGCCTTGATTATTTCACTAAGCTTGTAGATTGCTCTATGTTATCGACTTTCAGGAAGAGAAAAGAGGCACTAGGATGAGAAACTAGGAGTGACGAGTACAATTTTAGTATTATATAGTTTTGGAGGTTGAACAAACTTTTTTGTAAGCATTTTTATTCTTTTGGAATTAGCAGCTCTATGTGTGTGTGTGTGTGTGTGTGTGTGTGTGTGTGTGTGTGTGTGTGTGTGTGTGTGTGTGTGTGTGTGTGTGTGTGTGTGTGTGTGTGTGTGTGTGTGTGTGTGTGTGTTTTGATGATAAGATTCTTCATGCTTCCAAATATATGTGCATGTAAATGAATTATGAATTGAAACAAATCACGTATGCTTGCGACGATCGAGTTTGGTTGATTCTTTACCCGTTGAGTCCTGATTTTACAAGTAAAGATGGGTGGTAGTGAGATTTTGGTCTGACTGAGTCATCCCTCTCTATCGCACCACAGTTGACCCTAAAATGAGGGCTCACTTGAGCTGTGACATAATTCCTACTACAAAATGCAATTATCTTCATCTGAAGCAGACCATATGGAAAAGCAAACCAAAGCTACACGCACTTGGTCATGGATTTGGGTAGGGCACCTTCCATGAATATTTAGGATCAAAGGCTCAATGCTCAGCCAGCTTCAATGTTCCTCTTATGTCAAGAACATCTAACATGTCCCTATATGCTAAGACTGGGTTTAAATGCAAGGAATTTGAGTGAAGGGAAAACACGAAAAAAAAAGGTTGAAAAGATTAAATCACTTTCACATTTTACATTTCATTTCCTCTACTTTCCTTCAATCGAACATCTAACATGTCCCTATATGCTAAAACTGGGTTTAAATGCAAAGAATTTGAGTGAAGGGAAAACACAAAAAAAAAAGGTTGAAAAGATTAAATCACTTTCTCATTTTACATTTCATTTCCTCTACTTTCCTTCAATCCAAACAAAGCATAAATTAATAATCAATTCCTTTGTAATATTCCAGTTAAAAAGCCGGGAATAAGGCTCCAAACACGACTGATTATAAAATTATGTTAGCATATGCAAGCATTAACATCTTCCAAATTTGGCTAAATAGTCTATCAATGCACCTAATCTAGCTAGGTGGGCTTCTCAAACAAACAGGTGGTTATGGTTAACACGTGAATGCCAAAACAATGTGCAATAGCAGAGTGAAAAGAGAGTATGTTTATGAATCTGTATGATTAATAAATCAAGAGGCAAAAAAGCTAAATAATAAAATAAAATAAAGTTAAAAAATCTGTAGGTTAGGAGAATCTCTTAATCAGTATTTGAATAAAAAAGAATAATAAGTAAAGCGCAACTTAGAAGACCCAAATAGGTTAGGAGAAGCTCCTAAGCAGCAATTGGAGATAAGAGAATAATAATTAGTAAAATCGTAACTTACATGACCCAGATTTGATATGCCAAGATGCATTAAAATGAAACACTTACACGTTTGTTAACCATGACCCAGATTTGATATGCCAAGATGCATTAAAATGAAACACTTACACGTTTGTTAACTCGCAGAGTATAAGTCTGGGAATCCAAAGTTCTAATTTTTATCTCAACAGTTGTCTCAGAATCTTCAACAACATCACCACTGCTCATAGGAATTTTAGCAGCACCGCTGGTTCCCATTCTTGGCCGATGTTCAAAAAAGTAAAAACGACACCTCTGATGAGAAAGAAAAACAACAAACGTTCAACCCAAGATAGCAGCATATACCTTGTTTGCAAATATACTCGAGTTTCAATAGGGGTAAATTAATAACTTTGAGATTAGACTAAACTAATTATTAAGATATAATGTTGATTCAGACTAATATAATAAAAGTAGGCATCACAAAATTGCCCCTTGGATAATAAAATGGCAAGTTATAATTTGGTTTTCACCACTAAAAAATGGCAGAAGATAAAAGGGTAACAAATTCAAATGGAGAACGATAGGCACTAAGAATCTGAACTTTCAAAAATAATTTGTTTACAATCCCTACAAGAAAGCATTGCTTTACTTTAATCTCTACAGTTTAGAGCCCAATATCAAGTATAACATACCCTTTTTGAGCAAGGAGCAAATGTTGGTCATTTATCCTGTTCAACTTTCCAAATGGACATCAAAATTATGCTCCCTATTTTAGCAAGAAAGAAGGAAAGAATACCTACTACAGCAACAAACCTTTATCCACAAAGTGCGGTCCGCTACATAAATCCTTTTTCTCCACTGTGTCCCATAAAGTGTCATATTTTCCTTTAATTCTAATAAAGTAAGATCATTTTTATACAAGTAAAGAATAACTGAATAAAAAAATATATAATTAAGAAATGAAACGCAATATTTTGCATTTGCAAAACCAGCTACTTTTGGAATGACTAGCCGAAAATGCATGCTAACTACAAGAGAATGAAAGTGAGCTCCCCCTCCCTTATTAGTCAGAAATACTCGAAGCATGGAATTTCACTTTATGGGGTGCTATTCATAGGACGAAAGCATTTCCAAGGAGAAATTCGGGTAATAAGATCTCTGTCATCTCTTCAATGCTATCCAGTTCCATCATGAGGTCTAAGAGTTCTGAATGCTGGATTGAAAGTCCCACCTCTTTCCCAAATAGAAAAATACACCAATTCTATGGTAAGCAACATGAACCTACCGTAGAAGAAGCCTCATTTTTATGATTTAGGACAAATCAAAAAAGACAAGCTCCAAGAAATACATGATTAGGCCAAAAATAGGTGGCCAATTTTCACTGTCAAATAAACGGTCATGGATGAACAATTCCTTGAAACAAGTATTCAGATTCTAATTTCTTCATTTGAAATAAATCATATAGCAATGGTACTAATTAGCAAAAACAATTGTCATTTTTAAACATTGAATAAATTTAAAGGTAATAAAATACAGAAATGCTTTATTCAATCATAAGAAACAGAGGCACTTCCCAACTTCTGAAGTTTAGAAGGTAAGGTTAGTGTCGCATTCCATTGTAGGACGGTAGATTCACTGCAGTGAGAACATGCATTGCAAGCAGAAACAGTTGCTCCAATGGCTCGCCTAAAGCTTGTGAGTCAAAGATTTTTAGTCATTAATAAATAGTTCTCAGGTCATTGCATAGGAGCACAACTTCGAGCTTTAGACAGCATGACCAAAAAAACAATACCACCAACTCCAATAGACACAATTCCAGAAAAATTTATTTCTAATGATGGCATTGAAATTTGCATCCAAATTAATGAAATGAATTCAAATTTAGATCTAAGGACGTTCCCTGGAATCAATGTGCCACAACTTAACCTAACTATGGCCAGCAGTAGACAAAGGTTTACTAGAATGCCAACCTTAAGTGACACACAACAACTAAAAGAGATTGTGGAGAAAATTAGGCCAAGGTTGCCTATGACACCACTGCTTGAATGGTCAACTAGGTCTAAATCTAAAATTAGATATATTGAATAAAATTTGGGGACTTTGAATGGGAAGAAGTAAATTACTGGACACTTTCATTAGAATATTGATAAATATTACAAGAAACTAAATGAAAATAAACAAGGGCATTGGGCCAAATTAAAAATTATTACATGTGAGATATATTACTGATAGAAATGGGGCTGATATGAGTTGAGTCGTAATGGTTAAGAGAGTTGGGACTTCAACGATAAAGTTATTAAGTGAACATAATTAATAATAGGCTAATATCTATTAAGATGATTATTAGGATGAGCACTATAAATGTGCTTAGTGCCTATGCATCTTCAGGCGGATAAAATATGGCTTAAAAAATCAATTTTGACAAGGGATGGATGAAAAAACTATAAAATATGCCAAAGGAAAAAAAAGGAAATTTATTGGAGGTGGCCTAAATTGGCATACAAGCTTTAGTTGAATGTGGTAAGTTAAGATTCATGGTGGTTATAGAATAAGGTATAAGTTGCAATAAGACGAGCTATACACGATTTCAAGGTAGGCTATTATAATCTTATAATGGTGAAAACATACTAAAAAATTAGAATAGAGCTTAGTTATAAATATGAAACCACTAAAGTACAAAAGACTTCTTACATCAAAGGAAAATTAACTTTTCTTATAAAGAATATAAGATTATTCGAGAAGAGTTGTTCATAATATAACAAAGATTATAAATTACAGATGCATTTCTTAAGAGTATACAGACAGTACTCAAAGGAAATAACTGCCTAGCATAAGGTCATTGAATTTGCAACGAAGAAAACTGTTAATCGTTAAAGATAAGATTGTTGATGGAGGCAAAGCAAAATCCTTTAGTTGAGCCAAATAAGACGTGAGATAACATGCTAGTTGCATTAAGAACAAATTCGTAGAATTTTAGAAGAGTCTAGCATATCATATACTACTGAGGAGAATTGGTGATTGAGTGAAAAGGTATGATAAGTTAATATGAAAAAGAAACTTTACTATAAAGAGTGAAAAAAATTAATTACTATTGAGGTTTATAAGGATAAAAAGTTAGGATTCTTGGAAATGAAGTAGCAAGCAAGGAAAAGCTAGAGCTTTGTACTACAAAACAAAATTAGTGAAATGATATAAAATTGGAGAAAATGTATAAAAAATGAAAAGCTTAAAATTAATAGAATTAAAAATTAAACATAAGATAGAAAATTTTAATATCTATGATATTAATAATTAGCAATCAATATTATTAAAAAATAAAATTATTATATCTAATGAATAATAGGTTAAAGTATTTATTAGACAAATAATTAGATATCTATGAGGATATAACTTGTATAATTAAAATTATGCAGTTAAGTGGAGAATTTCTCAATAGTATTGTTGAACAAGAGGTAGGGTTATTAACGAATTAATACAATCGTCGAGCTACTGACGGATTGCTAGATTAGAACTTGCTCAAAATCATCTAATTAACAAATCAAATATGTATACACACTTTAATAAATATTGAACTGATCAATGAAAAAGCTTGAATAGCTTTATGTTCCATTCATTTAAAGCTCAATAACAAGCTAGCAAAAGGATCAATAATGTATTCATCTAAGACTCAATAATATGCTCATTTAAAATATCTAATATGCTACTTTCAAGCTATAAATTTATTTAATATTTTTCTCTACTAGATTGATTTATTCATGTACAAAAATATTTATTTATGTCCATTGAAATTTTTGTTATTTAGTAGCTCATTCAATTCAAGTCTTATTTTTAAGCTCGATAAGTTGCTCATTAATAGGCTCATTCAGTTAGCTAGCAAGCTATTTGGTAAATTTGTTTGTTATTAAACTTGACAAGGCTACTAAAGTTGTTGAGCAAGTTACGCAACAGTTATACTTTACTAATAATCTTGATAAGCTTTTTTAAAGGCTCACTTTTTCCCCAACTATAACAGCACAATAAACACAACTTGCGTGACACTTGAGCCAAGCTCAAACAAAGAAAAAACAATTGTGAATTTAAATAAATGAGTTTGAACACTATCATATATACTCAAATTAAGCTCAAGCCAAGCTCAAACATGGTTTTAGCAAATGAGAGAGAGCTTAAGCAAGCCCTTATTTCTTGATTTGGTTCATTTGGAACCGCAATTTAAAAAATATAATTGAGACTTAAGGATAAATATATAAAACAACCATTGGGATAACAATATTTTAAGGAATAACAGTCATCTTTATTTAAATTGAGGATGACAAAAAATGATAAATTTAAAATTTTTACATCAAAAAACAAGGAATGAAAGATTAAGGAATGAATATAGTACAGGAGAGAAAGGAATGGAATTTATTAAAGATAAAGTAATTGAAAAAAAATATTAAATTTGACTATGTACAATGAAAGTTGAAATGAACCCATTAAATGAACAGATAAAATTATTGTTCAAGGATAAAAGAAAAAGAAAAAGTAGACCTAAATTAACTGTAAGCTCAAAAAATTTCAATGCTTGAGAATCACATATTTGTTTTGTTGTTAGAGAACTTTAAGGGTCAAATTTTTAAAAGGCAAATGGAATAGTTGATAAAAGACTACCCGGACATTTCTCCCTCAAATTACAAGGACATTTTGATATGGGGTTTGAGGTTTCCCATGGATTATCCCTTCTAATAACAAGAGAACACTTTCAATTAAGGATAGCATTTAACACAGAATAATCAGTATATAATTGCAGTATATATTTTAAAATATTAAATTTATCATTTTGAGCTTAAAGTGGATGGTGGGAGAAATGATGACAAATATGATCAAGATCCCATGATTTTGTCATCCCGAGTCACAAATATCTCTGATCTACTCAATCAGAAAAAGATAGTCGAGCCAACCTAACAGATAAATCCTTGTCAATAACCATAGATTGTGTCGTCCAAGGAACCCTTATAGATCTGGGTAGGATGTTTGTCTAAATGGACAAATTTAAGTCAACCTTACATAACATAAGGCATTATGAAAATCAATTGTAATTTTATGGTTCACAACTCAAAGGATAAAAAAGTCATAGGGGGAACATACAGGATGTGACTGTGACCGTAATATAATGATGTCATTCAGTGACAACCACCCGGTCAGAGGGATTTGGTTGGCGGTAAATCATGAAGACGGAGGATCGGGTCACATCCTTACTAGCGTAAGATTACTTTAAGTGTGAATATAGTGATACATTCGACGTGGCATTCGCTCCTTTGTCAATAGGTTGTGTA